TTTTTTTTTTTTGGGGGGGGGGTATTTTTTTTTTATAAAAATACTAAATTCTTGTTTTACATTGTGAAGTAATTCAAGTCACCTTAAAGTCACAGCATAACAAGACTGATTGATTGGTTTTAGCAGACTGGGCTCCGTGTGGCTTTTCAAGTACATAATGCACAGAAAATGCACTGTATAAAATTGTATTATACTTTCTAGATAAAAGTTACTGCTTGTAAGAGAATTTACGTATGATCCTACGGTACTGAAAACAAAGTTTCTTTATAATGCAGCCAACATTGCACACAGTAAGCTGCAATTTATGAATCTGGCTTTTATTACCTGAATTCCATTGCCATAGTTTGAGGCTGCAGTAGGAAGATTTATAGAAAACAAGTCATAGAGTATGTTTAAAGACGCACACATACTTACTTTCAGTTATCTTTCTTGCATTTAATTATTCATTGTAGGCCAATGAGTATAAAAGCCATCTAGCTCAAAGTCTTGAGAGCAAATTGTTTAAGATTTTTCCGTTTTACCAATGAGATATGCCATATCTTATGAGAAAAAAATGGATTATTTATACATTAGATCCATACAAACAAAACTGACTTAGATTAAGTCCCACAAAATATTCCAAATTCAAAGCCTATGAGAGTGAGTATTTGTTCTTACTTGATTATTTGCACTGAGATTTAGTTTTTGTAGTTGGCAGTATAAAAGAGGGGAGAGATCCTGATATGGTAAATTGGACAAATGATGATTCAAGTAAAAAACCATAGGATAAAATATACCTTTACTCATTGGGAAGGATGACTCCAGGAACAGTAGTATTTTGGAATTCTTTTTACGTTAGATTGGGTAATTTTAATACTTTTAAACCTGATCTTGAACTGTAATCTTTCACATAACTTTAATTTACCTTCATTTGCTCCAACAGGCAGAATAGAAAACTATTATTTGTATTATCCAATTGACTATGTTACAGTCTCTACCTCAGAAGTGCTTCATTGTGTAGCTGTATTTTTAAATAGTATAATTCTTGAATCCCTTTATTTAGATATGCAACTACTGTAAAGAAACTCTTTTAGTTTAAATTGGGCCAAGTTTAGGCAGATTGTATTTGCCAGATGAAATTATTAGCTATTAGTGCAAAAGTTACAAAATCCTAATACAATGTATTGGCCTCGAAAGACAGGCTATTCCACTGATAGTGCTAATTAAGCCACTATGTCTAGCTTTTATATTGACCTATAAAGTTCAGTGGGCAGGACACATGCAGAATGTAGAAGTAATGCAGCGTGTGGTTTGTGTTACAGATATATAAAACGAGTCCTACTGTTGTTCTTTTCTTTAGTTATAGGAACGGCTTTTCATGATTATGACAGAAATCTTAATGTTTTGGTTGCCCTTGCCTTGTAATATGGTTTTATTTGTAAATGTAATGGTTATCTAAGGCCAGTTTTTCAAAATGTCCTTAAGTTGTATATCTATTTGCACCGCCAATTCTGTACATTATACAACTTGGGTAGGTAACAACATTGTGAATCTCTGAAAGTCTGGGTACACATTCTGTTTGCTAGAGAACGTGGTATTTCTTCATCTTTTGTAATGTGTTTACATTTTTGTGTGTCTGCTTCATGATTTTATTTTTCCTTTTACAGTGATGTTAGTGCCTATTTATCCCATCAAAATAATCCTCCCCTCTCTAATTGCCTTATTCTGGATGTTTTCTTTATACAGAAATGAGAATCAGTTTTTGTTTTTTGTTTTTTCTGATGAGCAGCCCTGGAGATGTAATGAAACATTAGTTGTCTCAGGATGATATTGCATTTGTGTTGCAAATAGATTGTAAATTGAGATGCATCAATATTTTGGTCTTCGGACCATAAATTTGACAAAATTGAAGTCCATTTCAGGGAGGCACTGTTCTGAATGTGAGTGTAACTCCTCTTAATATTCGTTCACCAGCTCGTTGAGTACCCTGGGGTGTAGATTGTCAGGGCCAGCTG